CTATAATATCTGTACTCTAAATCACTTCAGATTTAAAAAATAACCTCTGACACACAAACTCTTATTAGACACCGCATACACATCCCTGGTAACTTGGCAGGACTAGTTAAATATCTCTAGCTGGTAAAGGAGGCTGAACACAGGCCACATCAGCAGCAGGCCTTTCAGCACTCACAATGTAAACAGACCTCAAACGCGTTTACCTGAATAACGACTGCGATTCATTAATAAAGGACACAGTGAACACAAAGTACGTCGAAGCTGTCACTCACCGTGCTAGCGCTTTAAAGAACCGTCTGTCTTCCTCTGAGCTGAGATGTTAAAGTCCTAAGCGAAGGAAGACCTTTCTCCCTGTTTCTCTCCGTGTGAATGGATAATGCTGAACTTCCGCCCCGCTGATCGCGCGCTGCCTCTGCAGCCAATCAGAGCGGGCGCTGGTGACGTAACACAGAAAATATTTAGTGACGCTTCATAACGTTTTTTTTTTAGATTTGGGATCAAACTATCATTTTCTTTGCACATACATTTAATTCAATATCATACACTGTCAGAATAAAAACATTTCAGTTTACACAGACGAAATCCCGCCTAATCTCGCGCGAGTTTGCGCGCCTCTTCTCACCTCCCATTTCCGCTCTAAATTTCCACCTTCCCGCCATCATCGGCTGCTCGTGGTACGCGAGCGCAGATAACATCATAGCCGGCAAAACTCACACGCTGGCGGTGCGCCACACTGAGCGGATACTCTCATCCTCCAGCGCTTTCTTCGAGGCATTACCCTCCCGCAGGTGAACGAGATGAGCTGATTTTGCGCTCGTTTTTTCTCGGAACGGTCAGTTAGCGGGAGCCAAGCCTGTCACACGGCCTGGGCTGCTAATGCTAGTTAATTAGCTGCGTGTGGACGATGCGTGTGTGATTATTTCACAGCGGAGTGTGAGAATACGGCACGATACAGAGCCGCTTCAGCCAATTACACGAGTGTTGCTGTGTTATAAGGCGGGGTCGTGAGTGTGTGAAGTGTGCTGGGTGTCTAGGGAAGCTAGTCGAGCTGGTTCGGTTAAAGCGCGCGTAATGTCTTGACCTGATGTGTTTGTTTACTTGCCTCCTCACTCACTGGAACAGCTCGAAACACGCGGAACTCTTTGGGAGCAAATCTGATAAAGGAGAGCTTTGGGCATCGTTTTGATGCGTGACTTAATCAGTTCACTTTAAAACGTTAGAAGTTTGTCATACTTACGCTTAAGGCTTTTAGAGCAACAGTTTTGTGATTTGACTTAATGATTTAGCTTTATATCATGTGGGATATTTGCAAAGAAGTGGATGTAAGAAGTGTAAGGTAACAGTTTAGTGCGGATTTTACACTGGCGCCTATGTTTGTGCTGTATGGATAGTTGTCGTTGATAGTTTTAAGTACGGTGGCCGAGAAGTGCAAAGCAAACCACAATTCTGAAAACAAAGTAACAAATTACAAACG